TTAAAACTCAACATGCAAGTATGCCACATCATCACCCACTAGCAATTACTATTCTAGCCCATTTAAAATCCTATACAAGCATGCAACATCTTCACTCACTAGAAAGTACTATTCTAGCCTATTTTAAATCTCATGTAAGTATAACACATCATCAACAAGCATGTGTCAAATCATCTTACTCACATTATTTTTTCAACATTTCAACTTTCATCATTTCGACAATATTTAATATATACTTATCCATAAATCTCGCAGCAAAGCGCGGGGTATCACCTAGTTAATATGTTGGTTGACAAGGCAATGGCATATCATGTAGATAAGAAAAAAGTAAGAAGTTACCCACCTAAATTTCTTTATGTTTTCACTTCGAAAACGGTAATTCCACATGAGTGATGACGGTTAGAGATGAAAAAAAGGATAGGTAAACATTAATCGGAAAGGCAATGACGCATAGATAAGGAAAAACTCAGTCACCTAATTATTTTTTGATTTTTTTACTTTGAAAATTACAATTTCCACATAAGTGACAGTGATCTGAAATAATAGGGTACAAATTAAAAACACTCAGCTACTTTATTTCTTAATGCTTTCACTCTGAAATTCTAACTTCCACATGAGTGACGATGATCGAAGATTAAAAAAAAAGTAGAAACAATAATCTCTTGGTCGAAAAGGCAACGGTACATGGCTAAAAATATCAGCCACCTAGTTTCTTAATGTTTCCACTTTGAAACTGCAACCTCCATACGAACGACGGTGATAACTTTGATAAGATAGTATGTTTTTTATAATATTTTTTTAGTTTATTGAAGTAGAAGTGGCTAAAGTTTACTAAATATAAATGGCATTCCGAGACTAGCAATGGAAAATGGAAGCACGTAATTAATGAAGCCGTCACGGTTTGCGACTGTATATGGCCGCCTGAAACTGAGAGCAAAGTGGCACCAGTTGTCGATCACGCGCGGGGCGGCCTTGACGCTATATTGGCAAAGGTTGGTGTCGCATACTGGCACAGGCACAGCAATGCATGACCCTACGCGAAGCGACAGGAGGTCACGCACGGCGCTGTCCCTGCGGCCTTGTCGCGGTCCACGCGACGTGCACCGATCGATCTCCAACTCACCGTGGAACGCGACGTCTTCCCCTTCCTCCCGACCTAGCTTGTTGCTGCTGACAGAGCGACAACGATATAACGTTGAAACAAGCACAGAATTCGTCGCTACGAACAAATCAATATCAATTCTCGGGCCAAGACCAACAAAAACTGTAAAAAGGAAAAAAAAACGGATTGGAGAATAACATTCCTCGGCTCCTCGATCGCTGATTCCTCGTACCGTCGTACGAATATATACGACCGAGTCGCGGTCGAGAATCCCGGATCAGATTCCACTTAACCAAATCCCGTTCGACGCCCTATCCGCCGCGTCATCTCTTCCGCATGCATGTCCGTGCGTTTCACCGCCAAGGCAGGGCTGAGGCAGCTACCGGGGTGAACGGTCGGAATCGGTAAACCATATTTATCATTCAAACTACCCTGTATCGATATTAATACGATAGAAAAAAATTTAAAAAATAAAATTTAAAAATAGCAGAAAATGGTACGGTTATAAACAATACCCCTTATGCAGAAACGGCGCTCAGTCGATAGGAATTTCTGTGACCGTTTTCACCCGCTACATCCACTGCTCGAGCTGTTCTCCTGTTTGGCGCGTGCGCGCTAGCGAGAGCAGAGTATTAGTCGAATACCACGAACTGCTACGTACCGCGCGTTTATCTCGTGCTAGATACAGAGCATTGACGCCTTCTGCCGGTCTGCCCCCCCGGCCCCGTGCACGCGTGCGCCGCCCCGGTCAGCGTCCATCTCTGAGACTCTGACGACGACGACGCCGCCGGCGACGGCACCGGCGCCACCGATCCATCCATCCATCCGTGCATCCTACTGTATACTTACCTGTCTCTCGCTGCCCTGCACTGCATACGTCCGCGCCTAGCTCGATCCCCGCAGGATTTCTCTGTAGGTGACAGACGCCGGTTTGTCTGGACACCCCCTCGCGGCGCGCCGGTGCGTGCGTCGGTGCGTGCGTGCGGGCCGTCTGCTTGACGTTTTGACCATTATTCCTCTCTGTCGATCGTGTGGTCAGTGCGCATGATCTAAGATTAACTGAGGAAGGACTCATCTTGTGCGTTGACAGCGTTGTCCGAAGCCCCCGGACAGAACGGGTCTAAGTTTGCACTGTTATTTTGGGAAGTTGTAAAGCAGCTTCTGCATGCGCCACAACTCAAGCTTGTCAGAGTTAGTGACGGTGGCTGCTTTGATCTTGTACTGCTCCGTACTTGAGGCTCAAGAGGCCGGCGAAGTACCGTTTCCTGTTTGCATATGGAAATAGCAGTTGCAGTAGGAAAGGGTAAAATTTAACTGTGCTTCTAAAAGGACTTTTTGCATGTCACAGTTTTTCTGTCTTCCATGATCTAGTCTACGAATGTTCAGAACTTCCTCCGTTTCACAATGTAAGTTATTCTAGCATTTCCCACATTCATATTGATGATAGATAGATCTATCTAGATTTATTAACATCAATATAAATATGGGAAATGCTAGAATGATTTACATTGTGAAACGGATGGAGTAATATCTTATTGCTGATCGGCTGCAGGCGCGCTTGTGTGAAATGTAACTCCGTCTGGTACGAGAAAAAACGTGACAGCAAAACAACTTGACTGACAAAGGCAACATAAGACGCGGTCCTGACAAATGTAGTGGCATGATGAAGTTCAGAAGAATTTACTTGCAACTAAAGCCTGCATTGTCACGTCCACCGAAGTGCAAGATTTTCTTTTTTACTGTGATGTATGCGACGAGAACACACGCCATTGAAATTTGTATGAACCCATTCACCTGTTCCAGTTTAATTCCAAGCATGCTCGCTCTGACAATTACAATCTGATGTGGCTCAGACAAAGCTCCCGTTCCTCCGGCAGTCCAGCCACTTGTACACGGTTATTGGCTATCTACACACAATAATCAAACTGAGCAGAGCAAATCGAAGAAAGATATAGGAAACAGGAAACAGGAAACTGTTGCATTAATTAATATCTGATATAATTAATCCATACTTCCTCCGTTCCAAAATAAGTGCAGTTTTTCACTATTTATATTTAATGTTTGATCATTCGTTTTATTTAAAAAATTGTTATGATTAGTATTTTTATTGCTATTAGATGATAAACATGAATATTACTTTATATGTGATTATTTTTTAATTTCTTTATAAATTGTTTAAATAAAACGGACGGTCAAATGTTGGACATAAATATCTACAGCTGCACTTATTTTGGGACAGAGGTAGTACTTGCTTTTATTCTACTTCTAGTTCCCACTTGTATACTACGATTCCCTGCTCAATGGGTAAGTGTCGAATCCTGAATTTTTCTGAAATATCAAATTATCCGAATTTTCTCTGTAGGTTCAGTCCATCTGTTGTTTCTATTTCCCACGGAGCAACAGAAATCGCAAAGACTGGCTGCCGCTGTCTGACCCTCTGACTAATCCAATCCAGAGAGTGCTAGTACTATCTCCTTCAACATTAATTCGAGTTTAGGATCTGTTCATAGGTCAGACACGGCGAACATTTCTATTAGCCATGGACAAAAAAAAGAAGCACGCAGCCATGTTCAAGGGGAAATTTTGACTAATCTCTCGACACACCATCAAATTGGCCATCTTATTCTTAATTCGTGAGGTCCGTCTCGATCAAGAATTGACAGGATCAAAGGTCAACCAAATTAAGGGAAGCATGCAGCAGTTGCTGAATCGCTCCAAACGCAGCCAAGTCATTAATGTGTGTACAGCATTCTGCGTTTTTTTTTTCATGATCAGCCAATTATTATTCGTTGCCCGTGTAATAGTTGCAACGGGCATCATCGGCAGTCAATTTCAGGTCACAAATCTATGAATTAATGGGGGGTAGCTTTGAATTTCCGATTACGACGGTTCTTGCATCTAGAACTGGTCTTATCCAGCAATCAGGGACTCATGACAGTAATGTTGCAATAATAATTAGTATCCTACTTAGTTAATTTATTTGGAAGACCAATTAAGCAGAAATGGACGGAAGAAATTCAAACCTTCAACTCGGCGACGGCGAGCAATTTAGGAATACCAGGAAAGTTTTCATCAGTTTAATTATTTTATATGCAGATGGATGAACTTACTCTGAAACCTGATTTTCTGAAAGGGAAACAGACAAAACAGAAGATTAAGAACGTACATATGTCCAGAAAGCACACACATTAAACTACTTTGTGCATTTGTCGGTGTCGCTTCGCACCGATTAGACCGGAGTTCATCAATCCGCAATTATCCGTGCTCTTACTCCTCCTGCTTATCTAGAACCAAAATCCAGAAGCAGCATTTGTCCGAAATTCAAACCCACTCATTACAGTGTGTGAACCTTTAGCATTTGGGGTCATAGTTCTATTAAACCGTACCGTGTCTCCCGGGTATATCGCAGAGATAGAACATTCTATTGGTAATTTGGTATGCAACCAGTCACAGTAAAAAACAACGGAAGAAATGATAATAATCAAAGGTTACACGCTGAATTTTCATGCTAATCAACGTCCAAAAGGTTGTGCTTTTTCTCAGGGAAAAAAGTTACCAGTATACTTTTACTCTTCGACTCGCGGCCCATGGCCTAAACTGCTTCGCGTTGTCCAAAGCGAGACAGTGTCCTAAACGGGCCAACACAAAAGGAGGCCTAGTAAGCCGGTGCAAATTGGGCCAGAAAAGACGGTGGAAGAGGTTACCATACGCTGGGCCGTGTGTAGCCCAGGAAATGGGTGGACGTTGGCGCGCGAGGGGCGGGCGGGCGGGTGGCGAGGTGATCGATCGACACGCGGTGGGGGAGCGGCGGCCGGCATACGTGTCCAGCGGCGACGGGCCCGTGGCGGCCGCGTTCGGTACAACGGAGCCGTATTTCTCGGGGCCAATGCCTTCGGCGCCTCTCCCCACACCGCGCGCCGCGCGCACCCCCCTTGCCTGCCTTGCCACTGCCAGCCCGCACCTCATCCATCGCCTCCTCCTCGATCCCTCTCGCTCGCTAGCTTAGCATCCTGCATGCATGCAGCGCAGCGGCCGAAACCGCCCAAAATTCCCAGCGCAGATCGCTCGCCTGCCTTGCCTGCCCGTCCGCCTAACCGACACCGCAACAAACCACAGCCACACAGCTTCTCTCTGTTGCTCGCTTTACTGTGCGTGCTGTATATACACCCGGTGGATGAGGGATCTAGCTAACTAGCTTAGCTAGACAGCGTGTGTTGGTGGTGGTGGTGGTGTGTGTGTGTGTGAGGAGGGTGATCGATCGATCGAGCGATGGAGAGCCCGGACTCGTCGTCCGGCTCGGCGCCACCGCGAGTACTACGGCGGCAACAGCAGCAGCCGGGCTCGGCGCCGGAGCTGCCGCCGGGGTTCCGGTTCCACCCGACGGACGAGGAGCTGGTGGTGCACTACCTCAAGAAGAAGGCCGCCTCCGTTCCGCTCCCCGTCACCATCATCGCCGAGGTCGATCTCTACAAGTTCGATCCCTGGGATCTCCCCGGTACGTAATTTAATCACTTACACCCATACCAATCATAAATTAAGAATTTATTATTACAGCTTATATATACTATTATCATGCATGTATATTATCTAAAAAAAATCAGCCCAAATCTCCATATGCATGTGAGCATGCTAGCTTGGATGTGTAGTGCTCGATCGATCGATCGATCGATCGATCTGGTGTCGTTTACTTGTTTGTGCGATTTATGCGTGCATGCATCGGTTTGTATCAGAGAAGGCGAACTTCGGGGAGCAGGAGTGGTATTTCTTCAGCCCGAGGGACCGCAAGTACCCGAACGGGGCGCGGCCGAACCGGGCGGCGACGTCGGGGTACTGGAAGGCCACCGGCACCGACAAGCCCATCATGTCGTCGGGGAGCACCCGCGAGAAGGTCGGCGTGAAGAAGGCGCTCGTGTTCTACCGGGGCAAGCCACCCAAGGGCGTCAAGACTAACTGGATCATGCACGAGTACCGTCTCACGGACACGTCTAGCTCCGCCGCCGCCGTCGCTACGACCAGGCGGCCGCCGCCGCCCATCACCGGCGGTAGCAAGGGCGCCGTCTCTCTCAGGGTACGTACGTATATACGTTTGTGCGTGACAGTCTCGCTTGGAGTCTTGGACTGATTGATCTGATCAAGTTGATTAGTGTCTCAGCTGGATGACTGGGTGCTGTGCCGCATATACAAGAAGACGAACAAGGCCGGTGCGGGGCAGAGGAGCATGGAGTGCGAGGACTCCGTGGAGGACGCGGTGGCCGCGTACGCGCCGTCGTCGCAGCAGCATGCCACGGCTGCTGCTGGCATGGCCGGTTCGGACGGCGCCGGAGGAGTTGCTGCAGCGCACGGCGGCGACTACAGTTCACTGCTCCATCACGACAGCCACGAGGACACCTTCCTCGTAAACGGCCTGCTCACCGCGGAGGACGCCGCCGGCCTCTCGACCGGCGCCAGCTCTCTCAGCCAGCTCGCCGCGGCGGCGAGGGCGGCGGCGACACCGTGCGACGCCACCAAGCAGCTTCTTGCTCCGTCTCCAACCCCATTCAACTGGTTCGAGGCATTCCTTCCACGGGCCAAGGAGTTTCCTAGTGGGCTAAGCAGGAGTAGCAGAGACATCGGCGACATGTCGCTGTCATCGACGGTGGACAGGAGCCTGTCTGAGGCTGGCGCCGTGGCCATTGACACCGGCGACGCCGCCAATGGCGCAAACACTATGCCTGCATTTATCAATCCTCTCGGCGTGCAGGGTGCAACCTACCAACAACACCAAGCCATCATGGGTGCCTCGTTGCCATCGGAGTCAGCAGCAGCAGCAGCCGCCTGCAATTTCCAGCATCCGTTCCAACTCTCCAGGGTGAATTGGGATTCCTGAATAAAAGGTGCCGGCATTATGCATACACATATATGCACATGCATACATGCATGGCTTTTCAAGTAGTAGCACAACATTACTAGTAATTAATCACACTAATGTGTGTGGCAGTCGCATTCAGTGAGCACTGATCGAGTAGTTGCATGAACACAACACTAATGCATGCACTACATATATATGGCCGCATTGCTCCTAGGGCACGTACCTGTACGAACTAGGTAAGTGACCTAACCAGCTAGATCATGTTCAGAATAAGGAGAAGAAGCCGCATGCAAACACGTAGATCATATGGCTTTGCCTTCACATGCGTTTGCATCATATATATCGCATTCAGAAAGTAGTGCTGCAGCTAACACATAGATATGGTGTTAGCTTCATGCGTTTGTACCATATATAGCGGATGCAGAAAGTAGCTAGTTGCACTGTTCATCATTATCCCATGAGATATGAACTTTATATACCTTTGGGGTTGCCCTTCTAAAGTCATGCATCTAGAGCCCCCCTGGTAATAGCATGCATTGATGTTTCATGCGCACATATATATAATTGATATATATCCTTGTATATACGTAGGAGTAATTCGCTGATAGAACGGCACTTACATAGTACGCTGTACTGTACATGTAAACAAAAACTTACATATTATAAGAAAAAACGATATTATAGACACGCTGCATAGCTAGATTAACCATCTGGGAGAAATAAAGCATCTATCCACGATCACTCAAAAACAAATGCATGATGCATGTGCTAGCAACAGTATGTATTATATATGGATTGAATCATTGAAGTGCATATATATATACGTAGACGAGTTTTTGTCAGGCTAAAGCTAGACTAGTTACCAAGCCCTTGTCGATGCCATGTGACCATGTCTTCCCCCAGCAACATGGCTGTAACAACAGCACTAATCCTCCCAACGATCTCCGTCCAACTCGTCGCGAGACCTTCCCTTTTCCGAGCGTCTAACAGCGCCACCCCCGTCGTCCGCGCGACAAACCGCCTCCCAGTTTCGCCGGGACAGCCGTCGCGGTCGCTTACTCGCCTCGCGAGCGATCGAAAGCTAAAGGTGCATGTAAGCGAGCGCGTACACGTACGGGCGATCGGTCGGTCGAGACGTCGGCACGCGCGCATGCATGCGGCTCTCGGCGCCTTTCGGCCTTGTCGTCTGGCTGGTTCCCCGGTTTTGGATGGTTGCGGTGATGGCACATGTAGAAGTAGCGATCGATCGACGACGTGGACGGGACGGGGCCGGGCAAGGCTAGCGAGCTAATCACATCTCGGCTTTGGAGCACGCACGATAATAACCCCCTGCTGGTTCCTAGCTATAATTCCTAATCGATCTTATCTCCAGCTGCAGCGAATTGACCGCCTTTAATCGCGGGGATAGATGGTACCGTCGTTTTTACGCGGCTCGAGCGCGGGTGGCTGGCTTTGGCTCGTCGTCTTGTGTACGCGCGTGACGCCGGGTGCTACGCGTCGCCCCGCGGTTCGCTGGATCGCGGAGCGGTTTTAACCTCCAGCACGCGGTTTTTGATTGGCCGCGCGCTACGTGTTGCGGCGTGGTTTGTGCGGGGGTAAATTTGCATGTGCACCTCTGCGCAGACGGCGCGCGAGATTGGCCGGTCAAGGATGAGTATGTGTATGTGTGATAACTGTGGTAAAGCTTTTTATTCACCTAAGACTTAATTAACTCGACGTTAAATCATTTATTGCATACAAACTAAATAATTACAACAAAAAATAAAAATAAAAAATATATTAATGTGTAAAAACATGTAAATCTAAATCCGACTTTACCAACTGTAACAAAAAATAATAAATTTTATACGTGAATATTTGTTTTATATTATAAGTTGTTTGATTTTTTCTAAGTGAAATTTCTTTAAGTTTGATCACATATAGAAAATATATTAATATTTTCAATACAAAACAAACATATTATCAAAATATATTTAATGTTATATTTAATAAAACTAATTTGTTGTTATCAATGTTTTTAATTTTTTCTATAAATTTGATCAAATCTAAAGAACTTTGACTAATAAAAAAATCAAACGACTCATGATATGAAACGGAAGGAGACTCATAATATGAAACGGAAGGAGTATAATTTAATTTGTTGTTTTCCTTGTAAAAGTCAAATTTGAACATACATATTTTTTATATTTTTAAACTAATATATTACATATCAATTTATCTTATCAATTTTCTTTATTTTTTATAGTTATTTAGTCTCCCCGTTAAGATGTCTCTATATATCCGCCGACAATGTGTTTTGCTAGCGGCGTGTACCGAGCTCGATACATATGGCAGCAGGGACTATGGCGGCGTACACAAAGCAGTTGCCCGGCAAATAAAGGGAATTGATGCCAATTGTTTTTTTTTTTAATCACAGGATGCTCTAATCTATCCATCTTTTCGCTCCATTTTTTAATAGATAACACGCCGTTAACTTTTAGACACATGTTTGATCTTTCGTTTTATTAACTTTTTTATGCAAATGCATAAGATATAAATTGTGTTTAAAATACTTTTAGTGATAAAACAACTCACAGCAAAATAAATGATAGTAATTAGTAAGTGTAGGTGTAGTATGTGGGTGAGGGCACGAGCGTCTAATATTGTACTCAACAGCCTAAGATAGTTTAACAAGGAAGATGTTTTTTTTTCTCATTTGGTGCCCCCCTCATTCGGTTACATTATGGAGTCATTCTATGGTTACATTGTGGTGCCCCCTCTCTATTTAAGAGATTTGCTAGGTTACAAAGTCCGATTCTAACTCTAACCCTAACCATCTATTACAACTCCAAATCCATCCGTAACTAAATAGGACTAATATATTCGACACATATTATAACAATAAATTTAATACTGAATTACACATTCTATTTAAATTTAAATTTATTATTTTATCTTTCTAATTGTATAAGTTGAATTTGAACCTGCGTGTTTATGAATTGATATATTAATTATGTTTTAGATTATAAGTCATTTTGACTTTAGTTAAAGTTAAATTACTTTGACAAATTTTGTAGACAAATATATTAATATATACAACACCAAATTAGTTTCATTAAATCTATGATTGAATATGTTTTTATAGTATATTTGTCTTGTGTTGAATATATTACTATTCTTTCCTACAAATTTGATTAAACTTGAAACAATTTAACTTTGATCAAAGTCAAAACGATTATAGTCTGAAAGAGAGAGTACCATATATTGATATATCTTTTTTTTTTCAAAATTTCACAGTAACATTTTGGATGACATGGACATGCTATAAAACGAGAAAAGTGTGTAGTGCAAATCATAAATATAGTAAAAGCCTAAAAACTATCATCATTAAGAGTAAACAAATTTATTCCAAGTAAAACTTTTACTCATGTTGAATTTGGTAGTAAAATTTTCATCCTCGGTGATGTGAATAAAATATTAGGTGTCCTTTTAATCCAATAATACTTTTCACGTTTTCACTAGATATATATTGTGCTACATATTTTCACATAAAACGAGAAGACATGACTAATATGTGCACATTAATTTTCCAACGGAGAGGCCTTAAGGGCAGGTTTGGTTGGTGACTAAATTTGCCGCACCTTATAATTAGGCATGTCACAGTTTTAGTATGCGGTGTTTGGTTCATGCCATAAATCTACTTTGCCTAACCATTAGCCTTAGTTACGTGGTTCACATGTCATACATTTTATTTTGTTGTCTAACTTGGCTATAAGCTTAGTTTGTTATTTTGTTTGCCATAAAAGTGGGTTTTGCTCATGCCGTGGCTCTTTCTGCGCTCCGTGCACCTGGCGGTGGCGAACGGATCAGCGGAGGCCCAATGCAAAAACTAGCTCTGCACAAGCTCGGACGGCCTTGTCTCCTTCCTAATAATTCTCTGATTCAGGAATCACTGAATCAGGATACGATACTTCTCCAAGAAAAAAAAGAATCAGCTACGATACCGCGTGCACTGACGTGAACCGGACGATCGAGGCGCGCGATCACCAAATCGTCTTTGACGCTATTAAACCCGCGGATCCCAGCTAATCTTATCCCCATCTCTCGCAGTCGCAGGGCGCTATAAATCTTATCTCCATCGACCGCGTGAAATGTAGCTACCGGCCAATCAACGTCGATAAAAGAAGCGACAAAACAATTTTTACTTTGTACCTCTGGTCGAAAGCCCGTTCTTTTTACATGGATATCATACGGTGGATGGTCAAAGAATCTAAGCCTTTTTTCCCTGACAAAAATTGTGACTGATAGATAGGAACTGATCCACCTAAGGTTGCACCTCTCCATCCATGCACTGCAACTGATATGACTGGTTGGCATTATCTGTCTTTTGTTTCTGCTTCACCTGATTCATTGATGAGGTTTATGCTCCATATCTAAAAGCTAATCTCGAGCCAATGGTATGTAAACATCAGGGGATAAAATTACACTGTTCGTAATCAGGACACCAGGGCGGGACAAGAAGGGTTACTTCACTGAAGAATTTGTCCCGTATATGGCACAATATCGGAACGATAACTAATTACTCTGTTTGCCTTCGTTTTCAGTTTTCAAATCGACTGATAACCTTCCTGCAGAATCAGGGCATTTTAGGGCACATGACAAGAGATGGCAGATTAGAGAGGTTGCACCGCCGGTCTGCCGAAACCGCAAAAGCGAGAGCAAATCAACTAATCTCTTTTTAGCGCAGCTAATCAGCCAATGAAGCACGCACTAGTATGCTAATCGATCGATTAGTAGCCCACTTTGTCAAGTGCAAGTACTGTTTTTCCTGTAAAAAGTACTGTTCGCAAAGACTTGACATGTTTTGTTTGGACATTGGAGCAACTGTATGGGTCTGAACTCTGAAGAGGATTAATTGTTCAGCACAATTGGTATTTTAAGCTTGAACATATTTTAAATCTGCAGTTATTCTAATAAGTAAATTACAGCTACGGTGCACGAACTTAGGTGCAATAGAAACAGGTGTAACAACCTATATAAATTGTTCGCTTCAGACAACAATTTGCTTGCGTAGTCACATGCAAACCAAAGTCAAAATGATCTATATACGCAATCAAAACATGCAGCCAAAATTTACTACCGGATATTCTGATGTTGTGGTTTTAGCTTTAGACATGACAAAAGTTGATGCCTAGAAAAGACACTGTCAAAATATTTATCTCCAGTTAAATAGGACTATAGGTTAGAAATGCCCCTAGCTAGCCCCAATGATCAGACTCTCTTCCTCGATCTCCTTTTTCTCCCTCTTGCAAGCGCACAGCTTGGAAGAGGGCAAACAACGCCTCGGTACCATACTAGGCAATTCGGCTGTGATGGTGTGGTATCAATAGTTCCTTTATTTTATCGGTGATATCTATTGGTTTGTTTATTCATATGCTTATCTGAATAGATTATGAGCAAATAAAAAATATTTCTAAGTAAATTTTTTATATATGCGTCCTTAGCGATAAAAAATAAATGCTATAAAATAAACTACGATGAAAAACTAAACTTTAAAATTAAATTCTTAAATTTAAATTTTGAGTTATAAGCATAAGCATAAAAGAAACAATGAGCCATACAGTTTGTACGTTTTGATGAAATAATCATACGTGTTATATATAAAATTTGGGTTCTCACAATGATAATGATTTCTGCATGGCCTCT